TGGACGTCCTCTGTCGACCCAGTGCCTTCACACTGCCTGTGTGAGGCCTTTTTCCCTTGCTTATGCTTCATCAAGGTGTAACTCCCTGATAAGGTGAGAGCGCATTCCACCAGAGGGTTTTTTTCATCTTCTAAGGAGCTGACCAGTAATATGTTGGCTGCAGCTTGGTCTTCCGCATGCTCGCTCATGTATTCTTATTGCGAAATGCCTCTTCAGGATCCCTCTCTCACTCTATGCTTGGAGCCTCGATGGGCTGATTGGGATGTTATGTGGCAGCGCGGCTATCCGCTCTCCAACTGCGAGTGCTTATGTCGCATCCGGACATGGATAATTGAGTCACACACCTCTATCACCATCCCTGATGGTTTTTCATCAATGCCCCATTACTCCCTCCTTTGAATCTTGCCAGGGCTTCCTCTTGGCACATTGGTCACCTTCCTCCTGTCTGGAGCGGTGTTTCTTACCCTGCTGGGTCGAGTGAGTCACTTATTTTTACTTGACTGGGCGTTATTGACACTTGCACAGCATCCTTCTGGGAGAAGAGTGTGTTTTGATGTAGTGGTTTTTTACTGGATGTGCCCTCTGTGTTCGATTGAACTAGTGAGACGTAAACTCATCTAGCTCTGCCTTTAATCCATTGGCAGCCTTAAAGGGCGGAGCCGATATGAAATAGAACGACGGTTAAGTATTGTAACCCCAGATCCTATGGGTATAGGTACAGCACCGGACCTCACTGATGGGTGTCACTGGATGCAGGTGAGTGAAGCGGAGGTGAGGATCCAAATGCTGGGGTGGAAGCAGGCAGGTAGACAGGAGCGTTTTAAAGGTTTTAACAAGGAGCATGCTGGACATAGAAATAATGAATCGACAAGACACACAGAACTGAGAGGGTTTAAATACATGAGGGCTGGAAGCTTGGGTGATTGGAAAATTAGAGGCAGGTGGGAGTAATCAGGAGACACAGGACTGAGCAGAGTGGGGAGACAGGACAGGGTGTGAAAGATGGGGCTAGCACCCCTTTTATGACGGAATAGAGCCTGCGGTGGGCAGGCATATTGAAAACTCATTGATTCATGGCTAACAGAGAATGTTTTCCAATGGCAGACTTAAAGGGCTGCGCCTCTACTAATAGAATTTAGACTAACAATACGTAAGCATCGGTCCAGGTGCTTATTTATCACCATTTTGTCTTTCAGAATCTGGAGGTCAAGCCACCTTCAGGTGAATTTCACCCAAAGTTTCTGTCAGCACAGAATGGGAACTAAAAACAAAGGTCTATTAGTCAAAAATAATTATTAAAATAAGTCTTAGTGTGGCTTGACTTGACTCAGATTGTCTTGACTTTGTTTGACAGAACTTGACTTTGTTAAACTTGTATGTAATTAAATTTTTATTTATATAGCACTTATCACAGACAGAATCACAAAGTTCTTCACATAGATCAAAACAAAATTAAACATAATGATCTCAAAACAGAAATAGATTAACATCAGAAAAAAAATTAAGTCATAAAATTAGAACATTTCATAAAGCAAATGAAAGATGATTACACATTTGAGTAAAAAAATAGAAAACAAAAAATTTATCTGAAAGTAGCTTATAAGTAATTTCTAACAGCACCCCTCTGTTTAACTTGAAAGGGTTCAGCTCGGTCATACGGCTTTTTCCAACAGCGTGGTTCGGTAGTGGGTAACACTTTACAATAACTTTATTAACATTATTAAGCATTAGATAAAGTTTAACAGATCGCACCCCTCTGCCCTTTTTTCAACCCTTAAGGACACTTAAAGTTAACAATATTGGGAATGATAACAAAAGGATCCTTTGTTTATTAATGCTCAATAATACAAAGGGCCCTTTAATGTAAAGTGTTACCCAGTATTGTCCGTTTTAGTGCCTGCTTTGTTGTGGTTCCCAGCATTCCGAGCCATTTCGAAAACGCAACATCACCAACCGTCAGTCATTGATTGGCAAGGGGGCAGACTCACTGGTTGTTCCAGAGCTTTATGCCTGCTGCTGTTTTCAGAGTATGACAAAAAGCTTGAGAAAAACAATCAATCAATCTGTCTATCTTTTTCTCTTTCTCTCTCTGTCTTATTAAAAAATATTAAATAATGGCGCTCTCTAGTGGAGAACACCATAGATAGCAACTGCAAAAGAGGAAAATAAAATGAGCACTAAAGTTAAACTACAAATACATTTATTAAGCATGTTAAATGGCTGAATTAAATAAAGTTGATTATCTTAAACAAATAACAGTCTTTCTATGAGCAACAGCAATTTTGTCTATTTTAATTATTTCATCATGCATGCACTTAATCACGCCTTTAAAAATAAAATAAAATAATATTGTGAACACAAGTGTTGCAAATAAGAGTTTTTCACGTTTGAAAAAAAACCCGTTGTGTTTTAAAACTGGGGCTTACCATTGGCTCCCGCCGAAACTGAAGCCAAACGTTTACAAGCCCCGCCTTCTTACAAGGCTATAAAAACAAGCTGCTTGCCGCCGTCACACAGCGCCTCCCAACCGCGATACTTCAACGTATAAAGGGAACAATAACTGCTGAAAATGGTGAGTAAAAGGCCTTAATGTCTTAAGAAGTTGCGTTTGAAATATTTGGAAGAGGAGCTGGCGGGATGAACGAAACTTCTGTACCCTACCATTTTATGTTTGTTAAAGTTAACACCGGTCATTCGTAGCTAAACTGACGCAGTTAAAAAATACGTTTAACCGCTCATGAATATCCATTTTTTCACCGCTTCATTGAGTTTAAGTAGTATTCTTGATGGCTGAATAATATTTTTGGAGAATTATGTTTACAGTTAAGAACCGAAACATTATGCGGAAATTTTCCATTTTTAGCTCGAACGTTAACCCCAGGCCTGGCCGTTGGAGGCAGGGCGGTATCGTCGGCTCGCCTTTGCCAAGCGTGTCTTTCTCATCGACATATATACTGGATAATTCATTTCCATAGACTCCAATAGCACGTTTTTGAGGCTAAATGCGAGGTGGCCACCAAGCCCCCACAATGCGGCTTCGAAATGGACTCCAACCCAGAAGTAGCATAAATTGTTGTCATGAGTGTAAACTAGATCATTTAAACAAAAATCATGTTTTGGTACCAGGCTGTAAACATGTTTATTTCTGCTGTGAAATTGGTATTTTACTAAAAGTTCAAATGTGATGAGTAGGCCCATAATCATTCGTGTGCTTTCTGTTCCACAGCGCGAGTGCATCTCCATTCATGTCGGCCAGGCCGGAGTCCAGATGGGCAACGCATGCTGGGAACTCAACTGCCTGGAGCATGGTATACAGCCAGATGGGCAAATGCCCAGCAACATGAGCGTTGGAGGGGAAGATGACTCCTTTAACACCTTCTTTAGTGAGACCGGTTCAGGGAAACATATTCCCAGAGCCATCTTTGTGGACCTGGAGCCAGCTGTCATTGGTGAGATCACTGATTTAATGCTCACATGGTCACATTCTACACTAAAGAGAATAATGTTCAATACTTGAATATAAAATCTGTTAACTGATTTTTCTGTTTCTTAGATGAGGTTCGTACAGGAACCTATCGGCAGCTCTTCCTGTCGCGATGTGTGGCTGGAGATGGTGGACCATGTGTGGTGGTGGGTTCCGGAGGCAGAAGAGCAGGCACGGAGAACGTAAAAACAAATTTAATTACTGAACGGGAACGGCAGGAACAAACACAACGGTGACAACAAACAACAATGATCTGACGAAGGACAGGAGCAAAACATGTGGTATAAATACACAAGGCTGATTGGGAACACATGGGCAGGTTAACGAGGGACAGGTGAAAACAATATGGACTAATCGGGGCAGGAGAGAGACACAGTCAAGAGGGAGGGGGGAGATCGTGACACTTCCACCCAGAGCAGCTCATCACTGGAAAGGAAGATGCTGCAAACAACTATGCCCATGGTCACAAAACGTATCTCACCAGAGCCGGGAATGGAAACCAGGGGCGTTTCAGGTTGTAGACTCGCGTGGTCACGCGAGGGTCCGGCGCAGGTGGAGGTGCCGCAGGGCCAACGGTCAACGCGCAGGTGGAATCAGAGATGTCGGTGTCAGCCAGCGCCGGTACAGGACACCAGACCCCCACGCCCGCGGTAGGCGAATCACAAGCCTCCGGGCACAAGGTTACCAGTGCCTGCTGCAGCGCGTCGCCGTCACCGACGTCTCCGATCGGGAAGGAGATGATTGACTTCGTTTTGGACCGAATCCACAAGCTGGTAGGTTTAATTTATTGAATTTCATGATTCTTTGTGGTTCTAAACTAACATGAGAAACTGTCCTGTTAAGGCTGACCAGTGCACAGGTCTCCAGGGTTTCCTCATCTTCCACTCCTTCGGAGGGGGAACTGGTTCTGGCTTCACCTCCCTGCTGATGGAGCGTCTGTCTGTTGACTACGGCAAGAAGCCCAAGCTGGAGTTTGCAGTTTATCCAGCTCCTCAGGTGTCCACGGCTGTGGTGGAACCTTACAACTCCTTCCTCACCACCCACGCCACCCTGGAGCACTCGGACTGTGCCTTCATGGTGGACAATGAGGCCATCTCTGGCATCTGCCGCAGGGACCTGGACATCGGGCGTCCTACCTACACCACCCTGAACAGGCTGATTGGACAAATCGTGTCCTCCATCACTGCCTCCCTGTGCTTTGATGGGGCCTTGAACGTGGACCTGGCAAGAGTTCCAGACCAACCTGGTGCCCTACCCTCGTATCCACTTCCCTCATTTTGTCTATGCATGACATTCAGTATATCTTCAGAAACGTCTTCATTGCTTTGTGGCTGATGTATTGGTTGAACAGTTAAAGGATGAGTCAAAAGATGAGATGATTTTGGAATATTGTCCTCTTCCTGGTGACGATGCAGATATTTTGAGGAATCCTCAATCCATTGCCTTGTTTTTGTAGGTTGCACATCTTCTATGCCCCGTTATCTCCGCAGAGAAGGCCTAAGGCCTAGGAGAGGGGATGGAGGAAGGGGAGTTCTCGGAGGCCAGGGAGGACATGGCTGCCCTAGAGAAGGACTACGAGGAACTGGGCATTGACAGCGTTGGGGAGGAAGATGAGGGAGAGGAGTACTAAAGTTTAAGTGTGTGTTTGTGAATGAGTTGTTCTGTTGAAACGTTATAGAAATCTCATCTTGTTTGTATGTTTGTGGGTTTCTTATTTTTTCCCACAAGTTTAAAAGTTCAGAAAGAAACTGAAGTGGGTCTGTTAAAGCAGGTTACAGAGAAGATGGTGTAAGAATAGCCTTTTAACTGGTAAACTTGGTTGTTACTGTTCTGTAAAATCCTGAACATTTGAAATGCCTGATAAAGTTTATGAATAAACTGTACTACAAAGGTTTGTTCTTACTGGTTTAAATTAAGATGTCTAACTTAAAAGAATCTCAGAATTAAAGTGGGTCAGGTGTGAACATTGGGTTTTCAGATATTGCAGTGGGATGCTAAAGCTATTAATCCTACCAGAAACCACCGGTTTTGGTGCAGCAGCTATTCAATGATCAAATGAAAAAAGAAAAAGCTCACAGTGGTAAAAAAAACAAAAAAAAAAAAACAGTTAAAACCAAAAAGGATTAAAGCCAGTTAAAACCGCCAGACTTGACAGCTCGCACAACCAGGTGCTCTGACAGCTCACTCAGGGCTTGTGCTGATTTATGGAGCTGATTTCTTTTACTGTAAATCTAACAGTGTTTATACATCTGTAGATTTAGGAGGAATAAATATTCACTGACTGCATGTGACTTAACCTTGAAGCCTGACTCGTACTAGTATCAAAGCCTCATTATAATGCAGGTTTATTTACAGACGCGAGTCTGCTGTACAATGGCGCCACCGGTCCCTCTGAAGACAACCAGCAGGCAAGGTGGGTTAAGTGTCTTGCCCAAGGACATCTAATATCTAATCTTCTTTGGGTTTGTAAGATACTTGCTACCTTTAGTTTGGATGAAGTGTAGCATAATTCGTGGAATTAGAAAACCAATGAAACAACAATGTGTCAAGACAAGAAATAAGCTTTGACGGATCAATGTCAAGAAAAACAAATAGTGTCTGAAGTGGGATTCGAACGCACGCCTCCAGGGGAGACTACGACCTGAACGTAGCACCTAGACCGCTCGGTCATCCTGACCACTTCTATTAGTGGAAACCCTCGTTATATTTGTTGATA